GGCATGCTGAATGTGTAGAAAGTTGAAAAATGATAATGTCATCAACACCACAGTGACCAGCTGCATGTGTGTGAGCAGTCTGACATTTTCAAACAAGAAATCGTACACGTGATACCAAAGAACTTTTGTATGCAAACAGCATGCTTTGTAATGAACCTGTGCAGTAATTTTAATTGTTTCGTCGTCATCTATTAGCGAGCCGAAAACCCGGTTACTACAACTGACTACTGTTTATTTTTGAAGAGCACGGACACATGCATAAAAAGTAAGTGCAAGCGATGAACGTACATTGGTTACAGGAGAGTATGAGATAAAAAGAGAGAAACATCTCATTCGAAGTCATGCCACCAACAGCCTCATTCAGAAAAGATGAATCCCTAGGTATGTGAAAATGCTTGGTATGGAAAAACGCGTGGAGAGACAAACGGCTGAGGAAAGGACAAAACAATGCTAAAGGGTGCGGTAAGCGCCAGCACAAACAAGGCTTGCACATTAGGCTCAAAGCATCCTGGGTCAGGTATGAAACCAAATGGCAAAAATATGCAATACTACCACATCTAAGCATTTTGTCTACTTTAGTCATATTCGATTCTCAAATTAGGACGTTATAGTAAACGACTAGAAAAATTAAATATATGCTATTCAGTGCTGATGAAATACTACAGTCTAATCAAGCTCACCTCCATGAGGATATCAATCACTGTACCAAAAATATGTGTGTATTGTTCAAGGCGTCACCACGTAACTGGGTTACCCCCTGACAATAGTTCAAGGATTATGTTCATACCCAAATAAACAGGTTTTGTGTGCCTTACTCACTCACAGCAGCGTGCCAAAATTATATCTTAGGTTCATGTCTGGTCTGCTTGCAATAAACGAACATAAAAAATATCATTTTCAGAATGAATGAAATCATTTCTAGGGACAAATCAGACATGTGCATGCTATTTGAAAAATGGTCATATCTATAAATTTCCTGTTGTCCAAGTCTAGTAGGTTGATCTAAATTGTGTCCCCGTTTCGTTGGCAACATGACTCGTCTTGGGGTCATTGAATGCAGAATTGTAAGTTAATTGATGGAACTGAAGGGCTAAAGCAGAAGTTAGACGGATGTTTGCTAATGACTGGCTTATGGCAGATGGGAAAGTTAACGGTGGTTGTAGTGTACCAAATGCACAGATGGTTGAGTTCACACTACCCGAGAAGATAACCGGTACTCTTTTGTTAAACCAGGTTATTTCAGTTTGTGGATATATGGACCATTCGTGTACAACAGTGGCTGGGTCCCAAATGAATCGGGTTTAAATTGGAATTGCTTTGGTCTGTACTGCGCACTCTATTACAAACTCTTAAAACAACACACTGAACTAAAGATGGACGTTCCTTCTTAACGGAGGTTTAGTAAATACACAACTTCTGATGCTTCCGCATTACCAGGTCCTCTACTTCACTGATGTATGCATATCTGTATGCATATCTAAACGGACTCGCAATGCACGTAATCAAATTATCACATTTTGGTCAAAGTGTTGACACTTGCTTAGTGAGTGATCCATTGCTCTTTACCTAGCGTAGTTCATATTTGCAGAGGTTGCATCGTTTGTATTTGAAACATATTTTGAGTGGATCTGCACGGAATTCCAACGGATTCAGAGAAAGCCTAGTTTGGCCGGGCCAAAGAAACATTTCTACCTGATATCAAAACACGTGATTTGGGAGTCTTCAGCAGAATTGAAATGGATGCGAATCCAATTTGTAAAGTTTCATGAACTCACCTCTTGGAAAAACGAAACAGGCAAAGGAACTCGCAGAAATACGATAGCCTGCAACAAACCTAATCAACCAGCACTGGGTATCTATCCCAGCACTGCAATACTAGAAGCGGTGATCGATTAGGAGAGTATTAATTTGATCAAGGAAAGTCGTTCGAGCAAGATGTAAGAAAAACAATTTCTCGTGAACGCAAGCGAACAGTGTGTACATCAACCATTTACGAGAAAGGTTGATCAGTGAGCTAACTACAGACATAAATCAGCCTTTTACAGGATACAAACAAACGCGCGCACAGCGTTTACTAACAACACAATGACGATAACATCAAGACTGTCTGTGACGCGCTTCCAACCTAATTTTCTGGCTCTATTGTTCTATGGCCTTTCTGGCTTCACATCAGGCCAAATAATAGCAAGAACGAGAGCAGAGCCACCAATGTGATATCACCCCACATGCAAGACACCTAAGTGTGAATGATAATTGAGACAGTTTATGAAAGTCAGGATCCTAAAAGAGCGAGAGCCGCGACATGCTTTGCTGCTGAATATGAGTGCGAACTTGCCTAACTTGAGCGGATTATTTTTTTAAACCAGTCAAGACATATATTTTGCCTGCACTTAGGCACTCAATTCACTTTAACCATAAAAGTGTTTTGCAACACAATTGTTTGTTGACCGTAGAGGATCAGTCTGTTCGTGTAAATTTTGAATGGGACCTCGTCCGTTCACGGGATCCTTGCACACCAACTGAAGGCACAAGGTATACAATAAAATGTTTCCATATATTGGTAATGCGTAAAGTGTCGACTTGTTCATTTAGGCAATTCTATATCCTTGTTATAAATCTCGACGCATACTTGTGAACTTTTGTGAAGATAGCGATGAGCACAGACATTCTCTTCTTGTTTGTTGAAGAAATCACAAAATTTGGTATTCAGCCAATCAAATATGCAGGACTGTAGAGAAATTATAACGTACCTTGGAAAATCTCGCTAGAAAGACATGTTTGACTGCCTTCATTGTTAGGAGAACAACTGAGCTCTTTATACTGATGCGAGCAAACAAAACTAGCATTGTGTACGTTGGAAGAGCTCGGTGAGGGCTTCTAAACCCGACAAAATCTTCATCCCTCGACATACAGGGATGTTTCAAAGATCAAGCTTGAACGTGGAACCGACGTTTCACTAGCTATACAACATTTTAATTGCGAAGGTAATTGTGAGCGTCTCAAGTCAACGGAATATCCTGAGTTACTTGCTTGAATTAGAGGAACCCTTGCATTTTGACAACAGCCAGCTACGAGTGTATTATCATTTTCCGATAAAGCGACCAATAGGGTGCTGCGCAAAACGCAGCGAAATCTTAACGGTTCAAAGTCACTACTGGTGTATATGATTAAAAAAGGAATGTGACTGCTTCTTCCTCGATCGTCTTCTCAAAGAGCCAGAAGGTAGAGTGAGTTCATAGTGTGCTACGTAACGAATTTTAAAAGTTGTTTTAGTGATGTCGGAATCAAAATTTTCGAAACTACCCTTCACAAGTAATCCAGTCAAATGCATGTCTACCCATTCCACCGCATTACTCTCTACCCGACTCATGGTGCATTAAACGGAGGTGCGTCTTAAAAATCGTGTTAGCTCTGCTGAATGAAACCCTGGGAATTTAAGATAACCGACGATAGCTTCAGTTGGTCGTAATAAAAAGATTTCTTTTCTGTGACGTGGAAGTAATATTGTAGTGGTGCAACATTTAGGCCAGTAGCAGATGTAAATGTCCCATACTGTTGCATGATAACCGCATATAATTAGACATTTGATCAAAACCTTCAATAGAGAATGGTTGCATCTCTTGTTTTATAAAAAATGTTAAGGATAGTCTACTTTGTTCTTTTTTTAAACGCAGCATTTGAAGACTGTTTTCGCGTGCTTCCTAACCTGTCAGTTATGGACTATCGTGGCTCAGTTTTCCGTTATGTGAGGCACGTATCTGAACAGGACTGCCGTACTGCGTGCATAAAAGCTCCAAATTGTGACGCCATGTTGTTTACAAAGCAACGATTCTCCGGTACCTGCCAACTGGTTCAATCTTTCCAAGTCACTAACGAGAACGAGTCGGGAGCTTTGGAAACTGATATTCTGTCGTGTGCGTCGGAGAACTGTCTCCTCATTATAAACGATTGTCATGAAGGTGAGAATTTCGCAAGTGTTTTCACTCCGGTTCGTAGCGAAACTGAAAACTTTATAAAATGAATCAAAGTTTCCGGTACAGAATGAAAACCCAGGTACAATGAAGCGATATTCATGCGAAAACAATACCATGCTTTCGTGTTCTGTTAACTTATCGTTGATGGATTTGCATCTGAAAGAGCCCCCAGGCGGAATGGTCAAAACATTTAGGTTTTTGGTGTAGGATTCTGCTGCAAAACCGTGATTCACCACCATACGCAAATTTTGAGACTCAAATACAATTTGTTTCAAATTTAAAGTGGAAATTCTTTACAAGCAGGTCCCAACGGTTTTCTTCAAACAGGGCACGACCAAATGAAAAATCTTTACATTTTAGTATTTTGGGCTGGATATTTCCGTAGCCAGTCAAATCGTAAAATTTTTTACTCGAATCGCCCTTGTGTGTATAGTCAGTGGACTTCAGTTCAGTCAAATCAAGCTCTTAGGCTTATAGAAACTATGAACAATTAGACGGAAACCAGCCCAACACTTGGAAGATTTCATTAAAATTAACATAGCCCAACGAAATTGTCAAAAATGCAAACAGAAGCACTATAACTTGCTTGAAAAAGAATTTCAGTTCTGAGCAGTTGTCAGGACCCACCTGGCCAAACGTCTATCAGAAGAAGCGTCTCTAACATTGATAATGACCGAATCATTTGTCCGTTCTCCAGAAAGTAAGAGTGATCTTACTCTGCTTTTTGGCGAGAAAGATACGACTAAATGTCAGGTTAGGGACCAAGCAAATAGCCTCAATTATTCAGTCAGGTCTTTACGAATACTTTGTAAAAATCAAAAATAATATATACATTTCGCAGACTTACTAATACGTGAATGTGATTTTAGTGCCAGTTGTTCATCCTAAGAATGAAACACTTACGCATTCTTCAAGAAACACCTGAGATTTGTACACCGCTGAAATATATAAGACATGAATTTGTGCAAATTGGCCAGGTTTTGGCGAAATTATTCAACCCGACCCAATGAAACATGATGTTCCTTCACCGATCATCTATTGTAATCCCAAAGGGCTATGTAAATTCGGCTCTTCCAGGGTATAATCCTCACAATCACGGTGTGGCGTGAAACATGACTTCACCGATCATCTATTGTAATCCCAAAGGGCTATGTAAATTCGGCTCTTCCAGGGTATAATCCTCACAATCACGGTGTGGCGGCGAAAACGGCCGATACTGTAAGATTTTCTACTGAGCGCTGATCAGAATCAGGGTTATTGCGACATCAAATATTTGCTCAGAGGCGCCATAAATCATTTTACTTGTGTCTGTAAGTCAGTAATAATCTATATCCCGAATTTACTAAAAAGATATCCGCGCCGTTCTACACATGATGCGTGAATGGCTTCCACTAGAAAGCAAACGCTCACAGCTAAATCTAATGATGAACCATTTGCTACAGACTACAGCATCGACGATGGCACCCTCATCATCGATTTTCAAAACATGTTTATGCAGACTGAACAGAAAATTGCGCATTCTCTGTCACACAGATCCCGTTGTGGGCGCCAAATGAAAAAGCTCCATAATATGGTTACCCCATTCGGATAGGGAAGGCGATAGCTTACCTTGCTTCAGACACATTACTTGAGATGGTGCATACAAAAACAAACCCGTGCAAGAATTCCTTCATAGAGCTGTGGCGTCCAAAAAATGACTATATATGGCGAGAGACGCACAAACGCATTATTCTCCAAACATATTTTCTATTAATGTTCACCCACTCTATTTACACAGTTTTATGCGCGTATATTTTTGTCTGTTGATATGGTTCATTTAGGACATCTTGCTCGTTATTATCGAGGAAGGCTGAGATTGTTTCCAAATTACATAGGTTGTTTGTGGTGAGGGATATCATTTTCAAAAAAGACGAGAAAAGCCGAAACCTTCTTTTGCGTTCCAGTGGAAGTTGGAGAGAGGCAAAGGATAGTTTTCGTGATCCTAAAATTGTCAGATATCATGACAGAGAACGAGTTTAGAATACCGTTTCCACTGAACTGTTTAGGGCACTCGTCAACCATTTGTGAGTTGTGTTTATTAACTATTGTATGAAACACTTGATGTTTTTTTGGCTTTTGTGTTGAAGCTATGGTCCAGTATATAGGCGCTGACTTTGTATTCCAGCATGAAACATGTTGTACCTACAATCCTACTTAGGGTAAATATCAGCTTGAAATCAGTTTTCTTTTCAACATTCTGTCGAATTTTGCGTGACTATAGAATCCAACACTTTTAAACAAAAATGAAACGCCTATTCCTCCCATTTTGCACTGATAAAAAACGACAACTGAACTGTTTGATTTCAGGATCAATACTTTGTGACCCCATAACATTCATCGTTAGCCAGTGTTAATGGATTACAGACACAAGTACGCCATCCATTTGTCAGCTCCATACCCACACTTGCACCTGTTGTGGATGGTACTTTTGAGGCTGTGTAGTGATTTGTTCTTAGATCAGTGTCAAACATTTGAATCATTTCTTCTAAAAACTTGTGAAAGTATTAGTTTTTTCGTTTATGAGTTGGGCTTAACTTGAGTACTATGGTCAAGGATTCTGACAAATTTTGACGGCGCTTTCTTTCCCTTAACTTGGCTTTTATATCAAAAATAATTCATTGGTTGGGCAAATCTAAGTAGAAGACTCCAGGATATTCAGCGGTCCAAAAATGTCTACATTTTACAAACAAGTTTTATTAGCGAGGGCTAAGAGCCACAAGAGGCAGAGTTCCGAGTAATTTTTGTTATCCAAATCTACCAAGGTTTTTAGTGAAAATTCGTCTATCTGTTCAACGCGATTCCACCACCATTAAATGTTTTGGTATTTTCATGGTCAGATACTAGGATAGGAAATGCGACAAGGACACGGCTGTACGCCCATAACATGAGCATATATTCTGGGGCTGTTTCGGTAGTTGTCCCGTATTGTATTCAGATTTTGGCGCGAATCGTTTCCACCCAACTAGTTAACCCCAACGTTTGCATTTCCGATCCTGACAATCAGCTATCTCGGATCTTGGGTGTAATGCTTAAAATGGTCACATTGGGAATATAAATAAAGCTTGTCTCTTACTTATTCCCAAAAACCGGTTTTCCCATGTATCCTCAAAATTTGCATGATTTTTTGAAGGTGGGTGTTATCAGTCATCCTGCATTCAAGGCCTTTTAGCACATGCTTCAAACAGCTTTTTGTTCGCCGGACGATTGAAGATGTCTTGTTGGAGTATAGTTTGGTTTAGGGAAAATGACAACTTTCAAACATTGCTCATTCCACTGCTCTCTCATTTTGTCACGTTTCACACACAATCCAAAAATTTGCAAAATACCCCCGTCGTTTGCGGAGAAGGTACCCCAAATTTGAGATCAGTCTTAGCATATAAACATTATTCGGCCAGACCGGACATTAGCCAATTTATACATGGGCTGCTTACGAATACCATGTATGCCTTACAAAAACTAAGGTTTATTTCCGATTTCTATTAAGTATGCTTCATTGAACAGTATTTTGTTTCTGTAGTCGGCTAATTTCTTCAAAGGGACCTCATTATATCGCAAGTGATGTTAGCTTTACAACCAAATCGCCCAACAAAGAGGACAAACCAGTGATATCCCCATCCTCTTATTCGTTGTCGTCAATAATTGCTGGCAAATATTAATCGATGGAGATTGCTTAATTCGGTTTGCAGGATTTACGAAAACCGGCGACAAAATAGAATGGAATTCCTATTTATTCTTTACCATGCTGAACCGTTTTTATACATTCTTACATCTAACGCTTTCAGTTTTTGAATTTTTCACCCTTCAAGGAATACTGAAGAAGCTGGAACCTGTTGCTCGCTTCTCTGAACCAGATCAAGACAACCAGCTGGTGCAAGACTGGAGGGTACAAGCTGAGAAATTCACTAGGAATAAAGGGAAAAGCAATGCACAAACCACCTACCTCTTGTCTGTTTATTTTGACGGACGATTGGAATGCTCCGAATGGAACTGTGGTAAGTGACGTAGGTTGTAAATCTACCCCTTTTTGTATTCCTGTGTTTTTCAGGAAGATTAAACAATATGGTTGTCCGACACGATAATGAATGGACGAGTTGCTGGATAAAAAAATTACGTTTTTGTGAATTTCACAATTTTGAAACGTTTTTTTGGTACGGTGTGTTTTCCCCTAATTAAACTGATTGCTTTTGCTGTATTACACTTTGAATTTTCCCGCAGTCTGTGGTCAGGATTTGGGCTAAAAACGTGATCCATAAAACTGGCTGTCATAAATCTGAGAAAGATTGGTGTACGTTTAGTGCATCTAAAAAGCCACTAATATGTAAAACACGTTTTTTTAATAAAGCCCAATGGATAAAATGTTGCTGAACAGATGTGCGCAGTATTGAGTTACCGTCGCTCACATGTTTTTAACCTTCAGGTAAGGAGTGTATTGAAGTGGATTCAAAAGGACTCATTTGGACTAACAATCAACCTAATTTGCAAATTAGTGAATCCCGCCCACCACCCCATTATTTTCCACAAAAATAAATAAGTATTATGATTCCTCTAGTTTTCTTCGCCTTCTACTGGCTTTTTGCCAATAGTTTTTTATGAAAACAGTTTTTTGTCTTGACTTACAAATTGTCATAAGTGCATTCTGAGTGAATTAAAGCCCATGGGTAGTTTCCTGACTGCCAGAACATATGTCGGAGTGAGCACCTAACAGACTGGGTCGCTGAACTAATCATTGCTTTACACTAGCTCACTAATTCGTACAGTGTTTCACAAATGCCAGTGATTCATAGAAACCAATTGATCAACTGCCTCTGGATGAGACATTTGGTCACTCGGCTCACCCCTATATCATGGCTCAGGAGTAATTTCCCGGTAATTTCCGTCCTGCTACGTATAGTATAGGACATTTTTCTTGAGATTTTTTATTTCACAATGGTCAGTTTTCCTTATCGACAACCTTCACAGAAGTGAAGTTTGGCACAACAACAGTTATGACGGTACAAGCTGACTGTGGTTTACATTTCGGACCTCAGTGTCAGTTTGGCTGACTCCGCTAGATGTTGGACCCAAAGGATCAGTGTGTTTCATCACTGGGTAAGGTGAGAGAAAAATTGTAGGCATGTAGGAAGCGGTGATCATTGAGTACAAATCTGCCTGCATGCAAGTGGTATGTAGATTTATTTGACTGTTTGTTCCGAACACTGTCATGGTCTCACGTCGTCAAATGATAGAGAGCTACGGTTTAAAACTTTGGGTATCACTCAAGACAAACGTTCCTGATCACATTCAATGGTGGGCCTTATAACTAGCCCATATTTTACGGGAGGAACTACAATCTCCCCATAGAAACCATTGCTTAAGAAAAAATAAGCTTTTTGACAACTAGTACTTAATGGGCGGCCGTGTATCGAGGGATTTGCGCAAAATTTCTCATCAATAATTTACTGAACCAGAAAAACTTGAGGAAAAGGTCGGTTGCTACTGAATGAGGGTAACACGACCACTACTGTGCCACTCATTTTACCGAAAGCAAGATCATTATGTGGGTTAATAATATATCAAATGTGTCGTTATACATATAACATTATGTATAAATTTCATTTCCTATTTCTGCTTATTTGCATGAGGTACATTGTGACAGTAACTTACTGCTGGCCCCACTTTTGCAGCAAGCGCACATTGCTGAAGCCTGTCAGGTACACCATTGCGAAACAGGTAGTACATCTCTTTCAGAAAATGTGGTTGAGGTTTACCCAGTCATAAGTTGCATGCCGCAAAGTTAACGTCGTTTTCAACAGTCCCACACCTGCGTTGGCACGTTTATCTCGCTCAGTCCAAACCAAGAATTAGCAGCACCGGAGCAGAATCTCTTTTTCCTTAAGGCTTTTAGATGGTGCATGTTTACTGGTTTACGGGACCATAGAACCGTTTGGCTGATCTTAGCGATCAGCGTGATACTAGCTTGCTCCATCTAAATAAATGCCACTGGACAAACCTAAAAAGTTAATTCAGAACAGGCCAGCATGTCCACGCCTGGTGTCGCACGAAGTTCCCCAATTTGCCAGTCATATGCCCGTTTCTCCGGACACGTGGAACTTTCGTGGAAAAAATGAGCCCCGCTGGTTATGACAAAAAGATTTACTGATGATTTCAACCACATTTTGATCAGTGTAAGTAAACTTGCAGGGTAATCCTAACCCGGTTTCACGCAGCACACTTGCATTAAGTTTCGCCGCTTACTGACTTACAGCTTATTTCAGCTAATTCAGTGGTCACTCATACCAGACCATCTAGAATTGTGATGTATAGTAGCAAGTACATTACTGCGCAAAGCCAACTGAAGTGAAATGTGGGCACGTGAAGAACCAAGTGAGGCGTTTGTGACATCTGCGATTTCGCTCATTGTTACGTGCTAATTTTCGCGTTGACTATTTCAAGCTATTGAGAAGCTTTCGCAAACCGTATACCGACCGGTGCCTAAACAATCCGCAATTTCTGCCTAGCTCTCACGTAAGTGCGCTAGGTTAAAACCCTAAGATTAAGATCCTATGCAAACTCTTCAAATTCGGGATAATTATATATATATTGTTCAGTACTCGACGTCACATGCACAGCAGCTCTTCGATACGTGCATTTCGTTGTATCGGATTCGTTGAACTGTACACTCAGGGTTTCATCTTTCAGCCAACATGAGTGTAACTGATTACAATGCCCTTCGGTAGAAGTACCCGGCCACCAACAGACTGCTCGACGTAATTATCCAACCTTTTGAGTGTCTTGCGTTGGACTTGACGAAGCAGTAGCCAACAGCTCAGGATGGTAAATCATTGATGCTGCTTCAGCGGAACAGATGTCATCTCATAGAGCAATTTCGACACCTACTGCCGATTTCTGGAGACCTGTTTCATCTTGAAATCAAATAAATCAAGGTGCCCGTTAGAACCCAGAGGCAAAATGGGTACCTTGGTGAAGCGAAAGGTTCAGCTGCGACCACAGAAGTCCCATGTTTATTATTTCCCTTGATTTCATCACTGCTGTCATGTCTGGGGCATTCTCCGTCATGCCAGTACTTCGCAACTGAACTTCAGCAACCCAAAACACCTGTTTGAGACAAGCCTGGTTTTTTGCACGCACGACCCAGTCGTTACCCGAGATAAGGTCCCATGGGACTGTCAGACCAATGGTGGCACCAAAATACATTAACCTCGTTCATCGCCACGATGAATATTGGAGAAATTGCATCCCCTGCCTCACTTCTAAGTGGAATTGAGATGCGGAATTGTGGGAAATTGTTGGAAATTGTTGTTGTGTGATATAACTAAATAGTAGGTGACTCTGCTCTGTCTTCAAGAGACTAAAAACTGTGTCACACTGCATTGAATCAAAGGCATCGCAGATGCCAGGAAACACCAGAGGATAGGAACAGTTGCTGAAGAAAAATAAAGCAGAGTGGGTACCTTACAAACAACTATGATTAGCAAGCATTTTATGAAGGCACCGGACAAGAATAAATAACGTGAACATTGGTCAAATCTGGTGCTAGTCGAATTAGGTACCTGTAGGTTGAGAGTGCCACAGACATAATACCGATAACAATAATAAACCGTAATACTCATTAAGGACACCGGCGGTCAACCAGAAATGCATTCTGTACGTGAGCCTGTACAAACCTGGGGACGAACTACCCATCTAGCGGATCGTAGGGCCACCTTCACGGCAGTTAATTGATTCAATCAAAAACCCATCAGATGGAAGAGTGGGCCTTTGGCTGACTGCCCAGGTGCCTCACTGTCCGAAGTTACGCCACAGTTTTCCTCCTATAGTTCTTTTTATGACCCATCCAGCACGGAAGACGCTGCACTATTCCCCTCTAATGGTATAAGTTCTGGATGGCAGCGTAGATCGCTCGGTAATTCTTTCGATTCGCACGTACAAGGAAGGCTTACTGACGATTGTGTCGGAAAACAGTTTCCCATGTGTGTTGAAATAGGTTGAAGGTGTGAAAGTGTAAGACATACAGGACTTACCCAGCTGTCACGAAGAAAGGTTGAAACCCTCGGTTGAAGACTGGAAGGACAACACTAGCGAAAGATTTTTCGGAATTACATTCCAGGTGTAATACTTTGGAATCCATGGTTTGTTTTGAACCAAGTGGCATGTGATTCAGAGTTGAATAATGATAAACTGCTTGAACGGTGGCTACGTAGTTGTCACTAAATGACGTTTCAGTCAGCTGTAGTTGCCAGTTAAGCACACGTAACCTGGTTTTGATAATGATGGTTGTTCCACCTTAAATGATTGTACCAATCTCAAGAGCAGCAAAGCTCGCGCATCACAAGATGTGATGTGATGTGACTGTGATTCTACTTGGAGCAACGGAATGCATCATTCGAATAGCATAGTGCTGGGTGAGGAGCGCGTATCGGCGATGTTGGCTCAGACTAACCTCTGTCAAAAATTTGTGAAAACAATTATCGCAGGCCAGTTGGATGACCGAGATCTTGTCATCATCTTGAATTCAAAAGCGTCAGCTGTATTGCCAGTTAAGCACACGTAACCTGGTTTTGATAATGATGGTTGTTCCACCTTAAATGATTGTACCAATCTCAAGAGCAGCAAAGCTCGCGCATCACAAGATGTGATGTGATGTGACTGTGATTCTACTTGGAGCAACGGAATGCATCATTCGAATAGCATAGTGCTGGGTGAGGAGCGCGTATCGGCGATGTTGGCTCAGACTAACCTCTGTCAAAAATTTGTGAAAACAATTATCGCAGGCCAGTTGGATGACCGAGATCTTGTCATCATCTTGAATTCAAAAGCAAACGAAGAAGCAAGCTTTCCGTTTTCAGGAACTGCCACATTTTTCACACGAACGTCCCTCCCCCATGAACTGGTCGGTACTAGTTATGACAAGTCAGCTTGGTTATTTTGTCTACTGACGAAAGTAACCAGTACGCTGAAACCTAACAGGACCTTTGACCCGTTTAGAGTTTCT